GTCACAAATTATTAAGGGACATAAAGAGTAGCAAATACTTTTTCCGTAACCAGTCTGCAAGTTTATAACAACATCTCTACCCCTTGTATACTCGTATATAAACGCTTGCATAATTTGTTCCTTCTGTAAAATGAAATTTAAATTACAAGCAGTAACTGCATATAACTTACGGCCTCTGTGAAATTATACAGCTTATACTCGTAATCGTAGTATAAAGATTAATGCCCAGCATAACGTACGCAAAAGAGCCATATAGACAATAATATAGACATACGTACTTACGTAACGTACGTAGCATACATATACGTAACGTACTCTTTTGCGTACGTTATACTGCATGGCATTAATCTTTATACTACGATTACGATTCCCGCCTGGTTCATCACTTGCAAGCTTAATTATACTCGTAATAAGGAAATAACTTTCGATACTTCTCTGCCGCCATATTACTATATTTTGCAAATCAAAACATGCGCAGTTCCGATTACCAGGAAAAGCTGGTAATCGGTACTGCGCATGAGAGCATGCGCATGCAATTTTCCCTGGACCCTTCTCCGCGTGGGAGGAGCGCGGTCAGGGGCCAGAACTGGACTAGGTCAGGGGCCAGAACTGGACCATTGGAACATTCGTTTCTAATTCCTTCGACGCGACGCTGTCTCAAACCCTGGCTCGAATATCTCGTATTCAAAAACCATGGTTGTTCATTATTGACGATATGGACGAGTTACAACTGTCCCCCAGCGTGCGGAAGCTGATGTCTGGTTCTTGGCAAAAACAATGCAATTATGGCCATATTATTGTCACTACGAGAAGAAAACCAAGTACGTTTGTTAACGATGTTTAAGTACAAGAGATGAGAGAAAATTCCTGTCTGGAACTTCAATGTTTCGATGTCTATGATGCGAAGGAGTTTCTATTAAGCAGAACTGGTATTCCACGTACTGACGACACCGAGGCTGCAGCATGCAAACTCTTTCAAGAACTTGGTGGTTTACGACTAGCTCTTGAGCAAGCAGCAGCGTACATTAAGTCGTTGGGGTGTTCATTCTCGTCCTATCTCGAAACCTACAAAACAAAGCGTCTTTCTCTTTTAAATCAACACTCCAACAGGCTACCAAACCCGTGTCTGAGTATTCTTCTCCCGAACGACTAGCAGTCCAAACGACATGGCTTCTTAATATTGATTATATTATGCAGAACAGTGAGGGTAGAAACGCTACACGATTTTTAAACGCATGTTTATTTTTTAACCCGAACGAAATTCAGGAAGATTTAATCAATATTGGTGAGCCACGCGTGAATGATGAGCAATTTCTGATTTTTGTTGGAACTTAACGTCGCTGGGTAGATATCAAATTTTTAAGTTACTGACGGATTTTTCGCTCTTCAGGCAATCTAGTAGTCGATGTTTGCA